AACCATTAATAATACTTTAATATTTTCAACAACCTTTTGGAAGCATTCTATTAGGGACACTGGTTTTGGAGCCGAACAGGTTTTTTTTATGGGGGAAATCTATGTAGTGATTATTTCAGCAAGGCTGCATGATCTTCCATCCTGTATCTGGCACTTGGCCAAATTTTTCCATTTTTTGAATGATTCTATTGAGCAAGGCCCTGGGGCCTAAGCCCTCCAGGTTTTACAAAATTTAAAAGTCCATACCTGGGGGCAGCTAGGTGGGACAGTGGATAGAGCTCTGACTCTGGAGGCAGGAGGGCCTGAGTTCAGAAGTGACCTCAGACACTTGATACTTAACTAGCTGTGTGTTCCTGGGCAAGTCACTTAACCCCAACTGCCTCACCAAAAAAAAAGTCCATATCCTTTGGAAGATTACAGTCTAACTGGGGAGATTATATCTACAAAAATAATTATGAAAATAGCTATATATGTGAAGTCCTGTATGAGCTATAGAGATGATAAATGCTGACTTCTAAGGTGGCAGAAATGTCCTAAGTTGGGAGTGAAAGGCAAGATTTGAGCTGGGCCTTAGAGGATGAGTATGATTTTGATAGAGGACTATTCTGGCTAGAGAGAATGGTAAGAGGTAAACATGGGGATAGGAAAGCACCAAGTGTGTTTTGAGGAATGGGGTAGGGTGGCAAATTTGGCTGACTATTCAGTCTTTGCTTTCTCTTTTCACATGTGTTTTAGTTCATACTCTCCTGTAGGCCTGAGGGCAAATGATATTTCTTCCATTGGAAGGTGGTTTAATCATTTTGTCCTATGAAGTAGTTTAGGTAGCAAAGCTCAGCCCTAAACCCAAGTAGATAATGTAGCTAGGGGTCACAAGGCATAGAATGCTGAACCTAGACTCAGGAAGACCTGAGTTCAAATCCTTCTGCCATAGACACTAGCCATATTACCTTTGGCAAATTAATTAATCTCTAATAATAGGGGGTGTGTGAGGATAGTGTGGATTTGAGGATAAAGTGAGGTATTTGTAAAGTGCTTAGCAAACCTTAAAGCTCTATTTAAATGCTCGATGATGGTATGAGAGGTTGCTCTGCTTAAGATACTAAAGTGATGAGAGTAATGGGAAAAGCTCAAGACTTGGGCCCGGAGACAGACATGTTTCCTTTAGACCTGCCCCAAGTACTATACTGACTTAGAGCAAGTTGTCCTCTGTGTCTGTTTCTTCTCTTTAAAACACAGATAACACCTGGCTTCCCTTCCCTAGGATTATTGTGCAAGTTGGCTGAGGTAATTGTGAAAGTGTTTTAGAGAAATATAAAATGTATGTACTTGAAGAGTGAAGGGGAGAGGTTCTTTCTTTGGCAGTTTAGAACAGTGGTGTCAAAATCGAATAGAAGGAGGAGTGGCACTCGTTATACATAAGCACCATGCTGGCCACACATCAAAACATCATAGTCTGTTGTGTTTTTATTTGTTTTTTAAATATTTCCCAATAAATTTTAATCTGGTTTGGAAACACTCTGGAGCAGTGCCAGCCGCATTGAGTTTGTGTTTGACACTTCTGGTGTGGAGGACCCAAGGACTTCATGCCCGGCAATGGCAATGTCTCATAATATTTATATTTACAAAGTCAGGATTGATGTTCCTTGATCATCAGCCCATCAACACTCATTTTTTTCTCTGCCTAGTACTTTGATTATTTCTTACAAGTTACCAGTAACTTTAGGGAAAATAACTTATAGCCCCTTCCAGTTTTAAAAAAATCAAATGAATTAGCATTTTATCTACCTTTAACATAAACCCTGTGAGGTAAGTTTTATTGCTTACATAATATTATATAATTTCATTATCATTAATTATATAATAAAATTACATTTTATTACTTATATAACAATTCCCACTACTGTCTTCATTTTAGAGAGGCAGTGTGTGGTGTGGTAGATAGAACTTTATCTTTGCAATCAGGAAGACCCGAACTTATGTCTCACTTCTGATGTGAGACAGCTGGTGACTTCAGGCAAGTTCCTGAGACTCTTAAGTGTTAGTGAGAGTGCAGACCTGCATTGAGAGAGGGAGTTTCTTCATACTTTACCCCATATTCACTGACATATGAAGAAATTTAGGATTGAGAGACTAACTGGCCAGTTGTGTCTCAGCTAGCATGTCAAGGCAGGAGGGGGAAGTGAACAAGCATTTATTAGACAACTATGTGCCAGGTTGCTTTATGGATGTCTCATTTGATCTTTGCAGCAACTCTATGGGGTGGGTGATAGTGGGATGTCCATTTGACAGTTGAGAAAACTGAGCCAGGCAATGGTTAAGTGGCTTGCCCCCCAGGGTCACACAGCAAGTATGTGACACAGGAAGGATTTAAACTCAGGTCTTCACTCCAGGTCCAGGACTCTATCCTCTGGGCCACCTAAGAGATACTAATAATCTTATTTGGAGCCTGGAATATGACAAAACTATTATTTATATTTACTTTTGTCATTCCAAATGTTTTCTTTAAAAAAAAAACAAAATCAAACCTCTTGTATTTCTATGACTTTTTGAAAAATTCAACTTTATTTTTATTTTCAGTTCCAAATTTTCTTCTTCTATTCCTCTCCCCCACCCATTAAGAAAGTAACAATTATGATACCTGTAATACATACGAAGTCATTCAAAACATTTCTGCATTACTCATGTTCTGGAAAAACAAACAAGAACAAGAAAGGGTAAAAAAAAAAATTGCTTCAATCTGTATTCCAAGTCCATCAGTTTTCTGGAGATGGATGGCATTTTCAATCATGAGCCCTTTTGAATTGTAGTGGATCATTGTATTGATCAGAACTACTAAGTCTTTCACAGTTGTTAATCTATACAGTATTGCTGTTATTGTATAAAATGTTCTCCTGTTTCTGCTCACTTCACTTTGAATCAGTTGATACAGATCTTCCCATTTTTTTCTGGGGAAAAAAATCGTTTCTTTTAGCACAGTAGTATTCCATCACATTTTTATAACATTATTTGTTCAGCCATTCTCCACTTGATGTTCATTTCCTCCCCCCCCTTTGTTTCCAGTTCTTTGCTACTGCAAAAAGAAGTACTGTAACTACTTTTGTACATATGCTTCCTTTTCCTTTGATCTCTTGGGGTATAGGCCTAGTAGTGGGATATAGTTGCAGATTGTTACCCAGAATGGTTGGACTAGTTCACAGCTCCAACCGGAATGCATTAGTGTACCTATTTTCCCCACACTCCCTCTAACTTTTTTTATTTTCTTTTTCTATTATCTTAGCCAATCTGGTGAGTATGAGGTAGTACCTTAGAATTGTTTTAATGTGCATTTTTCTAATTATTAGTGATTCAGAGAATTTTTTTTGTATGACTTGATAGCCTTGATTTCTTCCTCTGAAAACTGTTCATATCCCTTGACCATTTATCAGTTGGGGAATGGCTCTTATTCTTTATAAATTTGGCTCAGTTCCCTATATGTTTGAGAAATGGGACCTTTATCAGAAACTTGATACAAAATCATCCCCTTCCGTATTTCCTGCTTTTCTTTTATTTTTGGCCACATTGGTTTTATTTTAAGAAAAAAAAACTTTTAAATTTTGTTTAATCAAAATATCCATTTTACTTTCTGGGAACCTCTTTATCTCCTACCTGGTCATTAACTCTTCTGACCTTATATCTGACAGGTAATTTTTTCCATGCTCCCCTAGTTCACTTTTGATATCGCCCTTTTTGTCTAACTTATTTTGAGCTTGTCTTGGTATATGGTGTGAAATATTGGTCTATGCCATATTCTTGAGTTTTCCCAGCAGTTTTTGTCCAATAGCTGGTATCTTTGGGTTTATCAAACAGTGGGTTACTGTGATCATTTACTTCTGTATAATGTGAACCTAATCTATTCCATTGATGAACTTCAGTATTAAATTGTTTTAATGATTACCACTTTATTGTGTAGTTTGAGATCTGGCACTGCTAGGGTCACTTGATATTCTTGATATTGTTCCTTCAGATGAATTTTATCGTTATTTTTCCTAGCTTTGTAAAGTAATTTCTTAGTAGTTTGACTGGTATGGTATTGAATATAGTAAATTATTTAGGTAGTACTGTTATTTTTTTATATAGGCTCTTCTTACCTGTAAGCAATTGATATTTCTCTAGTAATTTAGATTTTCCTTTATTTGTGTGAAGAATATTTTGTAATTGTATTCATCGAGTTCCTGTGTTTCTTGGCAGGTAGATTCTCAAGTATTTTATAACTGTCTGTAGTTATTTCAAATGAAATTTCTCTTTCTATATCTTACTGTTGCAGTTTGTCAGAAATATATAGAAGTGTTGATGTTTTATGTCGGTTTATTTTAAATCCTGCAACTTTGCTGAAGTTTGTTTTGATTGGTTTTTTGATTGACTCTCGGGTTCATCATAGCATCTGCAAAGAGTGATAGCTTTGTGTCCTCATTGTGTTTATTCCTTCAATTTCTTTTTCTTTTTGCTGTAGCTAGCATTTCTGGTACAATATTGAATAATAATTATAATAATGGCAGCTTTATTTCACCTCTTGTCTTATTGGAAGGGGTTCCAGTTTATTCACATTTCAGATAATGTTTGCTTTTGGTTTTAGATAGATACTTATTTTATGCTTTCTAGTGCTTTTAATAGGAATGGGTATTGTATTCAGCTCTTACTTTCTAATGTGCTAAGAGTTAAGCCAGCCTGTGCGTTGTGTCAACATTGGACAGAGTGATGAACTGGACAGGAAGACCTGTATTCATATCCTTCCTCTGACCCTTACTAACTGTGACCATGGGCCAGTTATAATCATTTCTCTGTTTCAGTTTCTTCATCTGTAAAATGGGGGAAAATATGCCCATGTATTTAATTTACAAGGCTGTGAAAGACTCAAAAGAGATGTCTGAAGCATTAGTCAAACTTTAAAACATTTTTTATAACATGTCAGTTACAGTATTTCTAGGCATGAATACAAGAAACAGTGTATGAGTTGAGCAATGACAGTCCCTAGGTACATGGTCGTACAGACTCTATTTATTCAGACTTCAATACTTCAAGGATCTGCAATGTGTAAGTGTGGGTATTCCTTCCACAAATGCAGAGTGCAGCTTTTCTGTATAACTTAATAGGTAATCTTTGAGAATTGCTGTGGTTGAAAAATTCATCTCCTCACAACCAACCTGGGGATGAGCCTTGGTGAATTTAGACTGGTTCTCTAATGACAGTATCATCACCAGTTGGATGGTTGGGACTGGAAGCCTTTCCAGCTTGTATAGGACCTGCAGGCACTTTCACTCTGCTTGCATCTTCCTCACCTCACCAGGGAGCATCATGGGAATCTGTTAGTGGGGGAGATGCTTAACAAGTGCCAGAGAAATGGAACTTAAGTTGTTTCTGGTTGTGTTGGAAACAGAGAAGTAGAATGTGGCCCCAGAGTAGATTAATGCTAAATGAACTTTTATCATGGGAGAATCAAGTGGATAGAAAAAACCCTCAAACAGTTCTCTCCAAACTTCCCCTTGTCTGCCCCCCCCCAAAAAAAAGTTTGCATGTGGCCTATCCTAACCATGAACTGAAACTCCCTAAGAGGAAAGATCATGAAAAGGATACTGCGTTTAGTATCCTACCTAAACAATTACGTCACATAGTTGGTTAACTGAGGGTGACAAGGCCAGCCTAGCAACAGCTCCCCCTCTTTCTGGTGCCATTGTAAAATAGGATTCGTTTATAGTTACTTGTATTGTGAGCAATTTTTAACATCTATGTTGTATGTTGTGGGATAGGTGTACTTCCTTTTATTCCTGTGGTTTCCTAGTTAGTCCCTTTGAAGTCATTGTAACATCAGGTGAAAACCTTCGCAAGGTTATACTATTTTCTGGATTAGTTTTGAGTTTCAAGTCATAGTCAAGGGACCATTAAGGAAACAACTCAAATCTCATTCAAGTGAATGATATATCCATGGAGCAGCAGCAGTGTCCCAAGTAATGACCTTCAGAAGCCACATCGGGCTGGAATCTTGGGATCCTAAGACTTGGGGCTATGTGCTTCTGATGAATGCCAGCCCTCCCTCCACCCCCATTACCTTTTCTATGGTGACAAGCCTTTGGAGAGAAAATTCTGTGCTACAGAGTTTTTTCATTGGGTCCCTTCTAAAGATAATTGCCTACCTCCTGCTAATCCAAGGGGGGGAAACCTTCAGCAGATAGCCTCTAATTTCCAGGAGGAGTTTCCTGAAAGTGGCCCAGTGCAGTAGGTGTGACCTGCCCTGCAAACGGTGTCTCTCCCCTTACAGAAATGAATCAGGAATAAAACATTTATTGCACAATGTTTTGTCCTATGGGCAGCCTTTCAAGATGTCCTTATTGTGCTTGTTGAGGTATATGCCTGTGTTTTCTCCCAATTGGCATTTCGTTTACTAGGTCTTTGCATTATTTTATCCAAAGTTTCTTGAGGAGGGACAGATCTTGAATGAAAGTGTCGACCTCATAACCAAAAAAAGGACTGGTTCTCTGTGGGAAATACATACACTGACAGAGTGGCTAACGCTTGGAGAAATTAGGTTCTTTAAAATGTCACTGCTTGGAGTGTTTTGTTAGTAGCCTGTAAAGTTATCTTTTAGAGATTTATTTCAGCTGTCTCATAATTTTATAGTTATTCCTTTTCCTTTAAAAATTATAAAAGCCACTCTTGTGAGCAGCATTACAGCATATGATGGTTAAGTCACCCACAGCACCAGAACCGTTTCCAACATGATAAAAGAGGACTGATGGAGAAGGCAGCCCTGTGAGCTAATTTGGGGTGAATAGGTTTACATATCTATTTTTAGTTATTGTCAATAAGGGCTTTCATTTGCAAAGATTTGTTTTGGCGTGAATCATTCCTTTGGGTCTGCATTTGAAGAACTGGGAGTTAAAATAACTAAATCGTTTTCATCCTCTGCCCCCTTACCCCAGCGAGTGTGTACACACCGACTCTGTCCCTAGCAGTTCTTTAGGCAGGCTGTGGAGGGGAGGGTAGGTAGAAGGGCAGGGTCATTGCTGATGTTGGCATTTCTTCTCTTCCAGCCTCTTTTTTCCACCCCGAACTGCTCAAGTCCTAATGGGTGGCAACTGCATCACCAGACAAAATTAACTTGTAAGAAGGAGGAACAGGGTGAACTGGCAGTGCTGTCAAGTGGCTGTGTTGTAATGTGTTGAGAGGGGGTAGTAAGCCAGACGAAAACTATAAACTCCCTAAAGGCATATCATTTCCCAAGGGTCTGAGTGAGAGAACAATTGGGTTCAGTTCTTCAGACCAGCCTTGGGCCATTGTTCTTTGTCCTGTCACCTTTTTTCCTCTTGCTCTCTCTCTGGCTCCCAAAGCCGGAGAAGGGTCGTTTAGGCCTATGTCCTAATTTGAGAGAAAAGAGAAAAAAAGACATTACAGGCAGGTCTAGGTGAGTGACTTGCCCAAGGTCACACAGCTCAGTTTACTATTTGTCTGCTATGTTTAGTGGGATTCTGTCCCATGTTGTTCCTCCCTACTGGTGCCTTGGCTTGAGACACTTGCTCTCAACCCCTCTAAGAGATGTGTAGCTAAACACTGAGCAGAAGAACATTGACACTGGAGTCTGAAGACCCAAGTTCGAGCCCTGTCTCTGACACATGACTTCAGGCGAGTCACTCAGTCTTCCTTTGTGTCAGTTTCCTAAACTGTAAAATTAAGGGGTTGGAATAGATGGCCTCTCAGGTCCCTTCCAGTTCTAAATATTTGATTCTATGACCCTAAGTGCTTGACAAACAGCCTGTCGAATGGGAGCCACCCCCAAACCTGGCCTAGATTACCACTGCACTTAGTGCTTAGTAGTGCTCTTTTGGCCATCTCGGGGCGCTGCTTCCTAGGAATCCCTGATGTGCCGCTTGATTTGAAACCTTGGTTTTCCATTGGACCCTAGCTTTGGCAAGAGCCATGTAAAGAAATAGCACGTGTGGGATAGTGAAAAGAGCCCTCCTGGGAGTCCCGAGGTCTGGGTTCTAATTCCGCCTCTGTGATTTCTGTGACTTCAAATTCTTTTGGCATTTTGCAGTTTATGATATTGTTTTCTAACCAACACCCATACATAAGATGAGGCCAAGGAGGCCTGTTTTAGAGACAAGCAGCTGAGCTGGGGGAACTGAGACAATTTGCCCATTTAGACTTACAGTTAGGTCTTTTCACTCTTATAAAAGTGGTCTGTTCTTGCACAATTCTGCCTCTGAGTTGCTTCATGAACTACTGGAGCTTCAGTGTTCTCATCTGTGGGAAAAAAAAAAAGGGCTAGATGACATCCCAAGCCCTTAGAATGAGACTACTTAGCACCGCAATTTTGAGTTTGTGCCCTGGCTAATTTCTAAGATGAGTGTATGCCCCCTACCAACCCAGTGAGGCTCCCAACAAAGACTGGTCAGACTCCTTAGTGAAGTACATGTTGGCATATGCTTTGCCTTGACTGGAGTGATCATGAAAAATGCGGTTCAGGTGGCATGCATTGCTGGAATAGTGTGGGACTAAGAGAGCACAGTCTCCACATTCCTTGGGAAGCAGTTCATATTTGGTCAAAGCTACTCAGTTTGTATTTAAGGAAAAGAGCAGTCGAGTTCATGTTTTCATTTGCATTTTATCAACTGAACTCCTTCATGGCCTGAGGACTTCTCCAGTTTGGGAAAGAACAGAGGCATGTGAGATGATGGTGCAAGTGTAACAGCTGCCATTACATTCCAAGGATAGCTTCTGAATGATTTCAGCCTTTTTTAGCCCAAGAGGATACTGACAGATTTTTGTCTTGTTTTGTTTTTAAAAATTATTTGGCCTTTCATTATGGGGTCGCGTCTTTCGGGTTAGCACTCTGGAAAGGTGCTTGACCAATTGTCGCTCTTCAAGTTTGCAGTGTTGGCAGTTTGAATAAAATTCAAGGAGATTTGAGGCTCTTTTGGAGCACAAGAAAATTGGGGCAGCCTGGATTTGTGAGGCTTAATAATTTGATTCTCTGTGGAGTTTTGCGGTGTTAGCGGATTCAGTTGGTAGTGAGAGTCCTCAACAGAAATGCAGTATTTGAGCACTAAAACATTTTTGAAATGTTTGGAATTGCTTACTTGGAGATGTGCAGGACAAAGATAGTCATCTGCTTTTTGTTCATTAAGTAAGACTACTGGGGACTTACTGAAGCTTATCCTAATTTGGTGAAACTGCCCTTGTGTACTTATTAGGGTGGTGAGAAAGTGGTTCTAAATGGTTTTCATTCCACTAAACCAAAAGAAAGCCAAGATCTATTCAGATGGTCATCTAGCATTACCTAGTTTAAACAGTGGGGCAAAAGCAAATAAAGTAGATAGAACCCAAATTCTGCATTTGTTCAAATCCCACTCTCTTGTCACTTAAGACCTGTGACTTGGGGCAAATTGATTAACCTCTCTGGTCTTGCACTAGACTTCCGAGGCCTCACCTAACTCTGTCTAAATCGCTGATTTTATGAACTGATGATCCTATGCATGTTTGAATTCTGAGTATTGTATTTGGAGTCAGGTCTGGGTTTGAGTCTCTAATTCTGCCTCCTATTAGCAATATGACTCAAGAAGTCACATAATCCCTTTGTGATTCAGTTTATTATTCTGTAAAATGGAGATAATAGTGGTTGGTGGTATATCACAAGGCTATAATGATTATTAGTGAGATTTTTTGATGAAATTATATACGTGTGTATTGTGTGTGTGTGTGTATATATATGTATGTATGTATGTATGTATGTATGCGCTTGTCTGCCTATAGCATTTTGCAAGCCTTAAAGCATTAGATACATCTTAGCTGTTGTTACCATCCTTAAGTTAAACCAAGGAAATCCTATTTGAAAAAGTGTCTTTGTCAACCTATGGTATTTGAAACACAAGTTTTGAGATCTGTTAATAGTGAGCATGGCTCTCCTACCTCCCAGAATTTTTATTGGCCTTTGAAGAGTTACATGTGTTAAATATACTGTTAGAAGAGATTTGAAATTAACTTTTCTCTGCATTGATGCATGAAGGTGACTAATATTTAAGGAAATGCTGGAAAAAGCCAGAACATTACTCATCATGGGATTAGCACATCCCTCAAAGGCTTAATAGATAATATTCTCATGCTTAAAAGCTTAATATGGTCATGAATTCCAAAATAAATCTGCAAAAGCTAATTCTTAGCAAGTGACAAACTAATTGCTCTTCCATACTTTTTTTTATTGATGTCTTTTGTTTTTATACAAAATGATTTCTGGAGATAACACTCTTTTCACCTCAAAAGTGAACCCTCTTACAATGAAGAAAAGGGATTAAGAAAAAAACAACTGACAAATGAATACATACAGTCTGCCAGAGTGTACAGCATTCTGTTCTAGTTGTCCCCTACATCTCTGTGGAAGGGCAGACATGACTTCATCTCCTCCCCTGGACCAGTATTAATTTTTCACTTACTCCAAGTTGAGCTTCCTTTCCGTGTTTACTTGGCGCTGTTTATGCTCGTTGTTTTTGCCTTTTTTGTGTCCCCAGTGCCTAGCAGATTGCCTGGAACGTATTAAGCAGTTAGTAAATGCTTGTGTGTTGATTATACTCTGCCATAGTTCATACTAATCTCATGTTTCTCTGAATAATAGCTAATAATAGCTGGCATTTATAGGTTTATATTTGTTTTGTATATTATTTTTTTATTTATTATGTAAGTTTATATATTTTTATAAGGTTTGCAAAGCACTTCACATGTTAAATAATTTGTTCCTCACAACAAAATCATGAGGTGGGTGCCACTATTATCTCCATTTTACAGATGAGCAGACTGAGGCAGGTTGTGACTTGCCAGGGTCACACAGTATCTGAGGCAGGACTCAAACTCAAGTCTTACAGACTCCCTAATCCAGGACTCTATGCATTGTGTCACCTAGCTACCTCATTTGTGTCGTGTTTTACAAAAATATTCCATTGCATTTCATATACTCCAGCTCATCCAGCCTTTCTCCAGTTACGTGGCACCGACTTTGTTTTCAGTTCTTGACAATCCCTGAAAGTAGTATGCCATGAATATTTTGGTATGTTGGACCTTCTTCCATACTTTGGGGGGCGAAAGTTAACTTTAGTTGATAAACCTAGCATCTTACACCTGGGTTCAGTAAACCATTGATCACTTCAATCTTGACCAACCCTAATTATTCTAGATGGCTCTTTGTAGAGGTCATTTACCTATTAAAAGACACTACCACTTATTTGGAAAGGGCTATTTCCCTATCCCCTAAGACTGACTGATAATCCTACCAAATTGTTCTTTCACCTTGCTAACCTCATATCATAACATCTATGTTCATAGTGCTTGTTATATCAACGTAACCACAAAGAATAACAACCGGAATTCAAAGTTTTAAATTTTGAATTTTGCCCTCTTCGCTCTGGGGGTATTGAGAATTAGCCTACATTTCTAGACCTGTGGTTTAGGTTGTTAATTCTTATTAGCATTCATTTTTTTCTCTCACTTTTTTCCCCCTGCCCAATATAATTTTTTTCAGGCTTGTGCTAACTTTTATGGTTGACCTAATGGCACATCTCATTATTACTGAGTATAAAAATAGAACCTCTGCTCCAGAGAGGTTGAGCTTACAACCTGAATGTCACCTTTGGGGTTGAGTTCTTGAAAGAAGATTGTGAATTATCACAAGGCAGAAAACAGCTGTTAAGAGTCCAAACCTTCTAGGAGTAAAGATTTGTAATACAGAGGTCATTTTACCTTGTGGACGGAGAACAGAAACTATTTTTGAGGGAGGTACCTCCTTTATAATGCTGATGGTAGGGGTACAGTCCTAAACCTGTCAAGGCTCAATGTTTATTGCTACTTCGAGTTATGTTTTAGGGAGAGTGATTTGAACTGTTACATCCACATCTTTAATGACAAGTATATTATTGTGGGTTTCTGTCTTTTTAATTAAAGTCATGTGCCCTAACAACACACACTGAAAATAGCAAGAAGTTTCCTCCTGAATACATATCATTTGTTACTGGCTTTTTTCCAGTACCCCAAGGATTATAAATTTCTGTGCCTTCTATGGCCCAAAGAAATTAATCCCAATCTTGGTTGCCTTTTTTGTAAATTTGTTTAGTGTGGGACCAAAAAAGAATTAGAATTGCCTTATTGGCTAATAATAATAATAATAATAACTGACTTTTTATAAAGAGCTTTAAAGTTGGCAAAGTACTTTCCGTGTTATCTCATTTGACCCACAAAACAATCCTGTGAGATAGGTATTACAGGTTTTTATCCCCATTTTATAGGTGAGGAAACTGATACCCAGAGAAATTGTGATTTATCCATAGTCATACAGTTAATGTTAGAGATGGGATTTGAATCCAGATCTTACTTATTTCAAGTACAGCATTATATCAACCAATCTTGCTGCCTTCCCTTCTGTTCTGAAAATATTAATCTTTCCTTTCACCTGTTCTTCTGCCACACACTTTGCAATTCCAGCTATGTAGAGATGAACCGTGTATATTTTCCTAGTTGGAAATTTAATCTTTAAAATGCTATATAAAAGATGGAATGGCTAATTGTTAACTTAGGCGATGAGGGCATGGAGTCACTAAGACTTCTTATGTGTACTCTTCCCCCACTTCCCTCCTCTTCTTTTGGACCAGGTAGCCTTTATCTGTGACACTGCCTGCACCTCAGATCGTGTGTCAGCTGCCTAACAAATGTATGCTTCTGATCCCAAGGACAACTGGTGAAATGTGCAGCTACATGCAGGCCTTTACTAGAAAAGCGAGTTGAAGCTATTGAGCCCTCATGGTGCATGGGCCAATGATATTTACATAATAATAGCTAACATTTTCATATAACATAAATAAAGGTTTGCAAATCACTGTACATGTGCTATCGCATTCGATCTTTTTAATAACCCTGTTGTTATTGGAAAGGAAGACCCGTTAGATTGCATGAGAGCTTTATAAATATAGAGCTGGGTTCCAAATTGAATATTAATTTTGCATTTTACCCTTTTGCTAAGTATTTTCTGGAAATTTCAAACGTTTATTTGCAACCAGTCTGCTCCCTCCCCTACCATTAAACTTTGCCTCTTTTAAAATTGGTTTCGAACACAGGAGGGTGATAAATTTAATAGGCCTAAAATAGCATAAACCTGCAGTGTGCCCTTGAGTACATCAGAAAGTAAATAATAGAGTCATATTTGGCAGCTAAATAAGTTTCTGTGGGAAGAGAACATATACAGACTCTTTACTACCTGTATGGTT